ACTGGCCTATGTCCCTTTTGGAGTTAAACTGTGGAGTCGCGTGAATAGGAACGGATGCAGGATACAGAACGCATTCCAACTTGAAATTTAATTATTCAGCGCTTTATATGATTACGTTAGGCTCCTCCACGTTTAATTGCAATCGCGATGGTAATTTCAATCTCGTGCAATATTTCTCGATCTTTATACTACACGCGTTCCGGTTTATTTCGCGCTTGTGAGATCATTATTAATATCTTGTAGAGAATATGTAAGATGTTTCGTGTTACCTGTATAATATCTTCTTCCCATTAGATATAATTGTTACCAAGGTTGCCTAACGAGGCGCCGCTAATCAAGCACGGTAATTTAATGGCTGAAATCTTGACTCTAGTTCTGGATGAGCCAGTAGAATAAGCGCCGGAAAACATATATTTCTATCGAAACTTGAGTTTCGCGTATTATATTTCACAATACGTCAAAGAGAGGCTAACGAGATTCTAAAGTAATTAAAACGAGGTGACTAAGATAAAAGTATACAAGAAAAATTAGAAATTATACTGGAAAAAGCATATTATGAGGAATGAGGAATTTTTTGACGTAAACTCATATGATATGTTTCTTTTTATCAACTTTTTGTATCGCGTATCTTGATATGTGCATATCTATTGCATAATTATAGTTGTACTACGCCGCACTTTATCAATTTTTTAAAAAAATTCTTAAAAGAGAATGGAGAAATGCGATTTGGATTGTAAACATTAATGGAGGAAAGTGTTGGATATTGTTTCAATCGGGTTGCGAATTTATGAAGCGCGAAAAATTTGCATTAGTAAGCGACTGGAAATGTGTTTCCGAAGTTAATGAAAAACGCAATCGCTGTTTCCATAAAATGCATAATGCGTAACAACATTCTGTACGCGTTGCAGAGCATAACGAAATCAATGGAGAATATCGAGATATTCTATAATTATATATCGTACGATTAATCATTGCGTGATGTTAATCCTCTACCAATCACATATTTGTCGTAAAAAGTCGTAAATACGAGGTGAAACGCATGTTGTTCGTATGGACCGACATTTATCTCGATTCGTGACATTTCCAACAAAATCGGATGAGTTGTCACGCGAGTTCGCACCGAGCGGGATTAGAATTTTCGCACGCCAGGGAGAATATAGTTGCTGCGCCACGCACAGAGGGAGGAAAAAAAAAAGAGGTTGCGCACTTGCGTAGACAAAAGGCTGGTTACGTCCACGGAAATGCCATCTATAAAGACAACGAAAGGGTGAAAAAGAGAAAGAGACAAAGAGAGAAGGAGAGACAAGTGTCTTTATATCCCCCGCGAGAAAGGTCGATTCCGACTCATCCGACTCACTTGCGGAAGGTTATAGACCTTGCTGCTTCATTATTAACACTATGTATATCGATTTTGTCTGCCTGCCTCCGTAAACTCATTTCTATTCTCGCAGATATACGCACGGACGACGATTTCACCGCCGGGAGTCTCCCTCGAGAAGGACTTCCGCCGTTCCAAGGCGATTTGAGAAATTAATCACCATGTCGCGCTTAGGGGGCAATATCGACGGCGTGGAGCTTTCGTTTCCGCAAATAGGATTTCCTCTGCGTGACTGCGGTGAATGAAATTTTTATCAAAGTTGAAATGGATGGCGAACGAAACAGCGCGAGAGACATGCTTCGTCGAGTAGAAACTGTTAAATTACGTACTAATTTTTATCGCGAGTGGGTGCGAAATATATCGACCTCTTGTATTCTGGAGTACGCTATTGTAGGAGAAGCTTATTGTTCGCGTTAACGTATATTAATCTGTATGCACCGTAGGCTTTCGCTAAAAATACGTCTCCAGGGTGAGCGTCGAAGTGGTTCGCGATGCGTTAATATATTCCGCCTCTGCCATGTCACTGAATTAAATTTTTACAAAATAAATTGTCGAGTTAATGGACGTCGATCAGAAAGAGCAGATAAGATTCTTTTATCTTCGTAAGAGTCATTTATTTTTAAAATGCCACAAGTCTAACGCGGCATTTCCATTTTTTTTATCATGATTTTAAAAATTCAATTATAATTATTTCAGAATAGATAACTCGTTACCCATAATAAATAGAATCAAGTTCGTTCTATCATGTCATTTGTATAACTGATGATTAATCCTCTTTGCGAATTTGATGTATGAACGAGTTAAAAAAATTAATTCGGCAAGTTCTGGTAATTTTCAACAAGAACCCATTATACATAACTATAACTGCCATATAACACGTAAAATATATATGTTTTGTATAATCCATACACTCTAAAAAATATCAAGATGGACTTAACACCTTATGATGTCTATATAATTCTTACTTATTAACATCAACATGATGTGGACACCATAAATTTTAAATTCACATCATGAGGGTGTTAATATTAACACCGATATGGTAAGAATTATATACCTGGCAAGGTAAGAATTATATACCTAGCAAGCTGACGTTTTTTGCCTTCATTGTGACATCAGCTTGCTACCTGAGTAGATACCGCATGGTGTGTTACATCTGCGCATTTTTTAAAGTGTATTATATGATAATTATGATATATTCGATGCTTATTGAATAAAAAAATTTGTGAAAATAATTGTCTAAACTAAATGTCGTTATTGATTACATTTTAAAATACAAATTTTTTCTCATTTACACCCTCTTCACTCGTCTTGACTCTTTCAATCTTAAATTATTAAAATAGAAATTTTTCAAGCTTACCTGACAAAGTATCCATCCCAAAATCCGTTTCGGGAATAAATTCAACTGACTTTCATGTTTCTTTGTCGGTAAGATATTGAGGATCTAGAAGACAGCGATACAGATCTTTCTGCTAATTTAGCGATGTAGATCTCACACAGCGGAATATTGTCTAGCGCTAAAACTACAATTTAGAATAGATTAAATCGCGTCGCAAGGTATTTCGATGTTCGCATGGATTGACGAGATAACTAGCCGGGATTACTCGGCTTTCAGTGAGAGAACTCTTGAATCCGCGCGCGCGAATGAACGACGACGAGCGAGGGTCGTCGCCGTTTGGCCGGGAAGACCGCCGACCACCCCGATGTATATCCTTCTCTTTGATGCCACGTGCTAAAGTCGACGGGTAAAGGGAGCGAGGGAGCGAGGAAACGGGTAAGAGCAACCACGTCGGCGCGTCGTGACGCTTCATCGACGCGCGCAATTGGTGCTTCCGGGGTGCAAGAATCGCGGTTTCGCTCTCAGATCGGCAGCTCTCTCCAGCTCTCTCCAGCTCTCTCGCGAATCATTTACCCGTCATTTTGAAATGAAAATAATTGACGTAATCCAGCGAATTTGAGCTGTAAACAAATTCTCTTCTTTTTTCAGAATGTTATATCTAGACATCGGATTATATGCATTTTGCATATTTGCATATGCAAAATGCATATAATGGGCTGTTCGCAGCATTTTGCATATAATAATAATTTTTTTATTGAAAGTGCATATTTTTGTATAAAACGCCAAAACTTTTACAAATATGGTAATTTGAAATAGGCGCGTGAAACGCGCACTTTGGAAACGATGGCCGGTATTCATAATCGGTTCTTATTTCAAACGCTTATCTTTCGTTGATTTTTAAATTCTTATGTTCCGCTGATTTTTCCAATATTTTGCTGTAATTTGTTTAATTCAAAGAGATAATTTGATTTGTGTTAGTTCAATTTGACATTAAAGTAATAAAATATATATCTTAAATTAAGTCGTTTCTTTTTTGATAGTGCATATTTTATGCATATTTTGGTCTTTTTTAATACATATTTGCATGCATATTTTACCACTTTGATTATGCATATAATTCGATGTCTAGTTATACCCGTTATATTCTCTACGCTCCCGCCTTCTGATGTTGATGATCTCAAATTCTCAAATTCATAAATAGCTTGTTATCGATTAATATTGTACATAAATTTTGCAAATAGTTTACTAACGATATCGTGAGTTCTCTTCGATTGATCGTTGTATTATTCGCTTATTAAGGATTTTTTGCGTCAGTGCTCATCAGTAATCCGTGTGCAAACAGATAATTCACAGACTGGTTGTATTTTCAAATGGGGTGTAGAGTTAATGGATCGGTTATTGGATTTAGTATGAACATGCATCCGGGAACATGACAGCGTGTAATCTGTCCCGACAGGTATAAGCACGTGAATCGAGTCGAGTGCACAATCGACACGCTGCGGAATCTAACAATATTAAAGACATTTCTCGATCGTAATGTTCCTTTCAGTTCTTTTAAATTGTACCAGGATCAATTTTCTGCGAGCTCATTTCAGAAAATACCGATTTACCCTTTTTGTCCGCCTAAAGTCGACGGTGGGGTTCCAACATTTGCTTCATTCTTTTAAAAGTACAATCGAAGCAAAGTATGTAATGTAATTTAAAATTAACACAAATCTAATAAATTCTAAACTATATATGTACGTTATCACGTAAAAAAATCTGTGGTCAAATTTTTTTCGAGTAGAACGTAAAAGGATTTTACTGTTAAAATATTTAACTACCAAGTCTTATGATTAGTTTATAAACTTATGAATTTTTATGGAATGCTTACTAAAGTCATTGCGTAATATGGTATTCCTTCAATGATGAATATTCATAAAGTGGAAGTTGCGAGAGAGACTAGGATGAAACGATACCTTTTCGCGCTATATATTCGTTAAATTTAGACAATTTATGAAAGTTCCGGGGAATACGTGACATGACGAAACAAGTTTGATGAACGGTTTCATAAATAGATACAGGTTCTTGTCTCGAATCAATAATCATCAATGATAATACAGATGTGGATGGCACATCGCTATTTCCCTTCTTTCTTACACACACGCTTTCTTTTTCCTATAAATTAATAAAGACTTGTTTAAAAAAATCTTTCTTGTGCTATATTTTTAGCAAACATTTTTATCAATAGTCGATCCTACGAAAAATCTGATTTATTAACCAAACGAGTTTTGTTTATTTCAGGATAGCGACAACACGGAAGACTAGCGGAGTGGATTTTAAAAGTATCGAATAACAAAAATTCAATAATGTCTTCATTAAATTTGCGCTACACGAGAAACGTCCTCAATCGTCTTACCCTGAAACAAAGGCTATTTTACGAGAAGAATGGTTTTCTAATATTTCCCCGCCTCATACCACAAGATGTGCTCGACAAATGTCACGAAAGGTATATTTAACTTTAAAAAAAAAACATATCGAATGTTCATCGCAATGCCATTTCTTTTCAAGTGTTTCAAGCGAATTTCTGAAAATCTAGCTTTGTACGATGACTTTATATGAAGAAAACAGTCCACGTATGTCAAATATATATACATATAAAAGTTGCTCGCTTTCCTGTTTTAATCATTGCAAAACATATAAAATGATGTTTATTCAACGCATGCAGATATGCAGATACGCGGGTATTAAAAAGCCTTTAAAGTAAAAATTACTGCGGAGACATTAATCGGAATAATCTTGTGGACGGTCTACATTATGAGTAGCTCGATAATCTAACAGTGTTATTGAAATGTTCGATATTTCAGTAAATTTACTGACTGATATTAACGTGTGCGCAAATACTACGATCAGCTATAATGTTACAGATGACCGATTATTCAATACGGATTATCTGAAATGTCGGCATACAATAAATTGCAGATACGAACTCTGTTTTTACGGGTATTGATCACGTGTGTCAATTTCAACAGCTAATTAATGATATCGAAATTTTTGCATGTCGAAAAAAGATCAAAGGACCTGTATTAAAAGCTGTAATATATCCAACTGTAATAAATGCACAGCACATTCAAGAGACATGTTAAAAACGTCCAGAGGATGTCTACGTCCTCGAATGAAGTGTTTGCTATTTGGGATGTATATAAGTACTCATAAAGTTTTCTTTTATTTTCCAGATGTAACGAAATCGCCGAAGGAAAGCCACGGCAAGATATGATGATAGTAATGTACGATATAAAGGACAGAAAAGCGTTAACTAAAATACAAGATATGCATACGGATCCGATATTTCGTCAATATACCGAACACAAGAAAATTCTTGACATAACCGAGTGTTTTACGGGACCAAACATCATGGCGATACATAGTATGTGCATCGTGAAGCCACCCGATAGTGGATTTGGAAGTTCGAGGTAACCATTAAAAATCTTACAATACTGTATTATTTAATGCAACATGGCTAAAGAACAAGATGTACTCTTTTAGACATCCACCGCATCAAGATCTGTACTACTTCCCGTTGCGACCAGCCGATCATATAGTAGGTGCATGGACAGCCATGGAACCCTGCGATATTGAAAATGGATGTCTCTATGTAGCGCCTGGATCACATACTTTAGGAAACTTGTATCCGCATGGTTATCCTCCGGAGTCGGAAGGAGTGGTGAACAAGTTTTATCATGGAATACACGTAAGATATCTCTTCGATACATCTTTTTATCGAGATGTTACTTTTCCATATCGTTGCTTAATTTTTTTCTGTTACGAAGCAATTACCTTCGAAGTTCAACAATTGGGTAAATCTTGAGATGCAACCCGGCGACACAGTATTCTTTCATCCGTTGCTCATTCACGGATCTGGCATTAATAAATCCAAGAGAACGAGAATGGCGATTTCCTGTCATTATGCAGCAGCAGAGTGTACTATTGTCGATGTACGTAGAGAACAAGTGCCAGTTTATTATCGCGAATGAATAACAAAAATACGAATCTGAAAAATGTAACAAATAAAATGTGTGCACGTTTTTGCAATAGAATGATCCGGTTCAGGAAACCATCAGGAAAGAGATTTTAGAGCTATTGAAGAAAAGGCAACCCGATATGGAGATAGAATACGCGGACGTATGGCGTTTTAAATCTTCGCTCGTGCGCGGTCTCCGTTCCTCTTATTGAAAACGTTTAACTGTATTATATTCATTTAGAGGCATTCGTTTTCTACAAGGCTATTATTTTACCATGAGATAATAATTAGATAACGTTAGCATAAAACCGCAGATAATGTAGGATTAAATAAATAGGAATAAGATTCGGAAGAGGAAGAGAGTAACATCACCACAGAAGAAGAAGTAATGACAACGGCGGAACTGTTGCCGTTATTATTTAATGAGTTAATATTACGCCGATATCGTTGCGGGATATAACAATGCTTTGCAAGGGGATCCTTGTAAGTGTTGTCGCGTCGCACGCTGGAACTTGAAGTGCGACAAGTGGCCAGACAAATCTGGAAGTGAACAGCTGTTCTCCCTATGTTTTTTTGTACTTTCGCAGAGCCTGATGATAAGTCCTTCCGACCTCTTATTTGCTATAATAAATTTAAATATCATGATAAAATAGCGATTCTTTCTTGAATATATATTTTATATGATTTGAGTGCTTTAAGTATTGTAAAGAAAAGTAGTATTATAGAATCAATAAAACTCACCTTGTCAGGGTGTAAGCAACAGGAAACGCAATACTCATAAATAGTACAGCACCCTTGAGAATTGCACGTTTTGCAACTATACCTTTCTCTCCTAGTCAAAAACGATTCTTCATTTTTTGAAGACTGCTTCTGCTCTATTGCACAACATCCATTCGACTGCACTTCATGTCTCGAACATACTACACCATGATCATCAACTATCAAGCCTCTTCCCTAAGAAAATGTGAGATGCTCAATCAAAATAAACGGAATGAAGTAAACTTCGACTGCCACTGTACAACTAGATTTGTCCTTAACGTCTTTTTTATAGCATTATGAGATGTTATTTTAACTGAAGAAATTCTTTATTTAAAAATTCACAATAAAATTATTTTTAAAAAACAGTGAATATTTGGTATCTAACTGCAAGTTAACTCATATTTTGGCAGTCAATGTATTAATACAAATCCTCACTTGAATGGAATTACGACAAGACTGATTATAAGCGTTGCTTTCATTTAAATTAGATGCATCTATATTTCCTGCGTTATTAGCTGCTTGATCCAGTATCTCTATCTGCCACAGTGGAGACTTTTCGGATGCTCTTAGCTCTTCGAGCAGGTTATCATCAGGTATCATGTCTTCATTGTTATCATTAATCATCATAGGATCCATATCGAAATTGTTGTCTGCATTTGATAGCCCTTTCTACAAAGAAAATAACAAAACCTTCTGTAATAAAAGTTATAATAATATCCAGATTCGTAGTCAGATTATTAACTATAATTAGACTTCAATTATATAAATGTACTTGCCTTTTCATTGCGGAGTAACGAAAAGGCACAATACGTCAATGACAGAGCGAAGATGAGCCCAAGAACGAGACGTCGTCTAAGTAATCTGATCAAACTCGTGCAGCTTGGCATCCTTCCTCCGCTCCGCTTATACGTTTGTCCTCACCAAAACAGCTTCAAATTCTCTGGACATAGTCTTTGCAGGATGATCATTGTTCCGTGCGCGATCGTGAGAAGAATTCGTGGTAACGGCATTCAACATCGAAGTGACTGCAAATTCGCAGAGATCAATTCGTAAAGGTTAGATTTGTTATTGTTATCAAAAGTTTGTGGTAGTATAAATATTACTTTGCTGACCGCATGAATGTTGTCAGTTTTTCATTATCACAAGGATAAGTGAACGGCATCGATTGTCGTCTCGTTGATAGAACGAATTTCATTAATTACGAAATGCAGACGAAACGATGCAAAACGAACACGCGGTAAAGCGTGGCGATATGATATGACATGACTGACTTGCCTGTTGAGTTTATTGACTTACCGAACAATGTCTTTTCCGAAGTATAATTGCGGTAGATGTCGTTACTTTTATGTATAATTACCGACGAGATGATATAGAGAACAAAAAAGTAATTTTGCAGCAATTTATAAGACATTATAGCATTATAAGTCTGCATATTTATTTATAGAACATTTATATACTAAAAAAATCATTAATTTAATGATATAATATATTATTCAAATAATCGCAAATTTATATCAATTGTCGATAAGGTCAGCGTTCTTTAATTATCTCCGGGTCCTCGGAGTTTTTGTATGGACGAAAATATGCCCAGGGTTGATAGTCTTTAATAGTATCTCGTCGGTGGTATAATTTTTATGCTTTTTTTTATCGATTTTTAACGAACCAATAAAGTGAATAAAGGATAGGTAAGTTCAGCGGTCGTGTTCGTATGAACATAAAACTACAATGGCATTATACCCAAGCAGAACAACAAGTCATTATAATATCAAAAGTGACTCTAAAATATCATTACGATTCATTTTAATGTCATTTTAACGTCATTTTAACGCTACCATGACTTGTTTGTTCTGCTTGATACATCCAAAAGGAATATAACCGTAGGCTTTTGTATTTTTTCAACAAAGAAAATTTTTTTTCACCGATGAAGGATGATGGGTTTTATTTCAAAGCTATTATTTTTTTTATTTTCCAATGCATATAAAACAATTTTTTTTTACTGAAAAAGATCGGATAATAGGCTTCACTTTGAAGCTATTTTATTAGATGGAAAATACGGTGTCATATATATATATATATATATATATATATATATGTATATGGATATACAGGGTGTCCCGAACTTTTATGCCAATTATATGTATCAAAATGTTATTCAATCCATTTTTGTACTTATTTCAACACAAAGTAACGTTCACATTAACGTATGTAAGTAAATAAATTATAGAGTTAAATTAAAACATCTTGAGTCAAATGATTTAACTGCATTATTAAATTAATGACGTATTGGGAAAAATTTTGTGTAGATAGAGCGAACTAAACTGAGTCGAAAAGTCCTCTACCATTTTGCAATTTTCGCAATAGTTAACAAGATATTAATTATTAAAAATTGCCAATCTTGAATAATTTTTTACTCAAATATTATGAACTTTATAAAAAAGCTGCAAGAGAAAGAGAGAGACAAAAATAATTTATTTTTTTCTCATAAAGTTCTGAGAATTTTTCTAGAATTTTTTTAGAAATTTTTAATACCATATTTTCTCATGTTGGTAAAGATAAGAAAATGCAGTACTAAAAAGTTGGTAAAAAATTTTGAAAAAATTCTCAGAACTTTATGAGAAGAAAATAAATGATTTTTGTTTCTTGCAGTTTTTCTGTAAAGTTGATAGTATTTGAGTAAAAAATGATTCAAGACCAATATTTTGCAATTTTTAATAATTAATATCTTGTTAACTATTGCGAAAATTGTAAAATAGTAAAGGACTTTTCGATTCACAAGGGAACCTCTTGAAGTATTAAATTCTGATTTTAATGAAACTTTGTAAACTTGCAGCTTACATAAAGAGATAAATTTAGAAAATATCAGTTGCAGCTAAAAAGGGGTGAAATCACCTTTTATGTGTACAGCGGTTTTCAGCTTTTTCCGTTATATCTCGAAAAATATTTGAGATATAAAAAAATGTTTTATACAAAAGTTTTACAACAAAATTAGTTGTATTCATTCGCGTTTTTAGAACAATTATTTACCAATTTTTTGTCAAAATTTTCGAAAAAAATTGTTAAATAATTATTCGAAAATTCATTGACGTGAGTAAATAGAGGTAATTTTATTGTAAAACTTTTGTATAAAACATTTTTTTATATTTCAAATAGTTTCCGAGATATAGCGGAGAAAGCTGAAAATCGCTTCACACGTGAGGCCTGATTTCACCCTTCAAACTCTATGTTGGCAGCAATTTTCGAAACTTTTTAAAAAAATTATTATTTTAAAAAATATTTATGATAGACCCAGATAGCACATTATATTCTGAGAATATACTAAAAAGGTCACGTCTGATATTCGTATGATATTCCTATGTCCGCAGCAACATTGTTCGCAGTATATCCTCAGAATATTGAGATAAATTTTGAAAATTTTCCTTAAGAGTGTGTAAGAGATATCTATTAAAAATAATATTCTGTTATAGCGAAGAATATTATTTTTAATAGATATTTCTTACACACTCTTAAGGAAAATTTTCAAAATTTATCTCAATATTCTGAGGATATACTGCGAACAATGTTGCTGCGGACATAGGAATATCATACGAATATCAGACGTGACCTTTTTAGTATATTCTCAGAATATTTTCAGAATATAATGTGCTATCTGGGGATAAAGATAATTTTATTATGAAGCTACTTGTAAGTAAATGTCTATCCCAAAAAAATGATAAAATGCTATCATTTCCACACCATCTGTCATGAGGTAGGTAGCATGGTGCGCTTTTTTTATAGTGGTTTCTCCAGTAGGCTTATTCCACTTTAATTTTTTTATGCACAAATTATTCCAAATGCCGTCATTCCTCCCTTGACTACTTTGGAACATTAAAAAAATTATATTTAAAAAGATTTATTATTATAAAAAGATATATTATTATTATTATTACATAAAAATATATTCGCGCGAGTAATATTTAAAAAATGCTTATCAAAATATTGTAAAATTACAACATCCTTCTCCTGATTTTTTTCAATGCGTCATTAATTTAATAATGCAGTTAAATTATTTAACTCAAGATGTTTTAATTTGACTATAATTTATTTACTTACATACGTTAATGTGAACGTTACTTAGATAGATAGATAGATAAACTTTATTGATCCCCTCGGGGTTACAATTTTTACAAACATATACCGCCCTTTACATATTCTTACTTATTAACTTAGCCTAACCTAACCTAACTTAATCTACTTAAATCTACGCCATCTATTCTCTCTCTCTCTCTTTCTCTCTCTCTCTCTTTCTCTCTCTCTGTCTCTCTCTCCCCGCTAGGACTTCCGTTTCCGGTGTCTTTCCACTCTATTAACGTGAACTCCTTCTTCTAAAAATTAACTCTGCTCTTCTTTCTTCCCCACAGAGCTTTTCACTCCTCCCTCCCCCCTCCCCCCTCTCTCACTCACCCCCCAATTCTCTCCCCTTTCCCTTCCCCCTAACCCCTCATACCCCTCCCCTTTTCTTATTCCCTCTCCCCCCCCCTCGCCCCCTTTCTCTCCTCCTCCACCTCCCATATCCACCCTTCTTCCTCCCCTTCTTCCCCCAAAATTATCCCTACCACATCCTGCATGTGAACGTTACTTATGATGAAATAAGTACAGAAATGGATTGATTAACATTTTGATACATATGGAAGTAAAAAGATAATAAAATGTTATTTAACTCAAGAAACTCAAGGTTGCCATTGCTCCTTTGACATCTAACAGTGATGAGTTACGGCACCATATATTTCCTATAATGTATTAATATAATCACATTTTTTAATTATAAAGAGCAATAAATGTATTTATTCTAAATTTTAAAACTTGTTAATCTCGTTATTAATACTAACATGATTATTATATGACAAAATATTCGCAATTATGATATTCTTCAAAAAAATGCTGCATACAAAAATATTCAAGCGACAGTAGCGTCATTTTTATATCATCACATATGATGTATGTGCTTGATTAATATTATTAATCTAGCGACGATAGCGTCATTTTTATATCACATATGATGTACGTGCTTGAAAAACATCTTATCTATTATTAGTCCTTGATTATTAGTCACTTGATTATTAGTCATTTGAAATTACTATATAAATCACAAAGTTCTTGCAATAATTTCAGTATAAGGTATAATTAGCAAGAATAACGAATAATTCAAGTGCAAAGTCAAAGTCAAACAATGCAAATCTTTAAAATGGTACAAGTGAATCCTGCAAATATTCTCAATATGTTAATTATCCTTATTCAAATTTCAAAAATTTCGGAAACACCTGTAAACGATAAAGAAATTGAATTACGCGATGTGATAAAGGATATTATACACTCTGTTCGGAATTATGATATTCTTCAAAAAAATACTGCATACAAAAATATTGCTTGCACCAGGAACATCGTATTACAGCAGGTGCACCACATACGGAGCAGCGAGGTATTTCTTGAATATCCTTTCCATTGAAACGAAAATCTACTTGAGTTTCGAATTGTGGCGGCCGTTCTTCGATGTATCCACTCTTATACCAGGCATATTTAAAAAGATTATGAAATCGCGGAGAAGATAGTTTGTACATGCGTTAAAGATTGTAATTTGATGATATTATTTCTCAAATATAAATTAATTTCATAATTTAGTAACGTAACGCGATCACTGAATGTTCTCACAAAGTTTTTCGATAGTCTAAATCCATAAACGTCAAGAGGTTGAATCATTCCCGTTGTTTTCTTTCATATATTTAAAATTCGTATATCTTTATCTTTTTTTGGCATAAATTCGTGCAGACTTGCAGGACAATGTGTTCGCTCCAAGAGTCTAACAACAGTACACTAAAACTTCCAGTTGCGGGTACAAATACATTTGTAAACCAAGACTGAAAGTGTTGTGTAGTTAATTTGCCCGATTTTGAGGCG